GAAAGTTATAAAGTTATTTCCTTTAACCAGGAAATTAACGTTCTTAGAATTGACAAGACGGTTGACCCTGAGTGGTCAGCTACAGTGGAAATGTGAGCCAAAATCATCACAATTAAAAAAAACAAAGACTTAAACTACTTCAGTCTGTGTGCACTGAATTTGTTTAATACACGAGTTTCACAATTTGAGTTGAATTACTGAAATAAATTAACTTTTCCACGGCATTCTAATTTATTGAGATGCACCTGTATATGCATATGTATATGTGTATTAAATGTGCTGGTGGTTGTGTGTATAATCCATCTGCTAGCTTTCTTTGCAGTGTTTTCCGGGACCTGTGTGTTTCTGTCCTTTTCTAGGGTAGGTCCTCGATGAGCACCCCCTCTGTTGGATTCAGAAACTGGGTGCTCGACTTGCAGTGTTTACTTCACTCGTCGATATGATGTCCAGCCGGTAGGATAGCCTGATTTCAGCTTCATGCTTCCTGGATCACGCGGCCAGATCACAGGCTTCTGCGGGAGCCTTCTTGATCATCAGGCCCCCGCCACAGCACTGCAAAATTTCCTGGACATCCGGGCTGGGCTTATGCTTTCAGGCTGCCCTGTCTGGTATACTGTATCTAGGTCGCCCTGAGGGGCCTCCTAGTCACCAGGATATTCCCTCTTGCTGAGGCATCGAGCGGGAAGTATAGGTGGCATTTGCAAGAACCTTATTGTGTATGCTGTCTCAGGCAGTGCTCCCCTCGCCTTAGAGGATTGTATTTGAGCTTGCCTCTCCCGTTTTGCTCAGTACTTCCGGGTATCTGTGAACAAATACTTGGAAAACTCCATACTATGGTAAGTGCGCACGTTAAGCTTTGCGCACATTCTAAAATCCACACAGTGGTAAGTGTGCACGTTATGCTTTGCCCACTTTTCTGAAATCCTGTATGGTAAGGGTTACGCGTTATTAGCCTTGTTCCCTTTCTCTGAGTTGGTTTAGACCCCGGTTTCTTGGGCTCCACTCAACTAGTGTTCTCTGTCGACACACTTTGGAAGCATCACTCCCCTCACCATTGAGGGTTATTGTGAGCATGGTGCTTACTTTCGAGCGTTTGAATTCTCTCCCTTCTGAGGAGTGGGATTCCTCGCTCCGTGGGCTGTTCTCATGGTAGTGTTTAGCAGTGCTCCCCTTTATCAAAGGGTTACCTATGAGCACGCTACTCCTTTTTGAATTCGGAGTTCTCCTCTCACGTGAGAGTTGAGTTTTCTGTTTTCCCAGAGCACCTGGAACCAGCAGCATCAGTCGAACTAGGTCCTTCCTCTGCCTCTCTGATGCGCTGAGTTTTCTGGCTAGCTTGCAGTACGCTTACCTTAAAGGGATCTATTCCTGATTCCAAGCCTTGAGCTCTACCCCGGGCCCAGGAGTTCTGGCCCTAACAGGTACGTTTTTGGGGTATGTAGCCTAGGCCTTTGGTCGTAGGGAATAATGTCACTGACAGCCGTCTAACGTCCCAGGGGCAACTCCCATGGCTATGGTAGAGTTGGTACTTAGTGCTCACCATGGTTCTGGCATGCACTCCCCTCAGCATGGTGGCATGGGTATACCGTTCCCCATAGCAACCCCTAGAGGACGCAGTTCGAAGTTCCCTTGAAAGGGAACATCTCAGGTTACGTATGTAACCATGGTTCCTTGAGTAGGGAACGAGACACTGCGTCCTCTAGGTTTCTTGCCATGCTGCGGACGCAAGCTTCAGACGAAGAAGTGGATGATGTGTTCTCCCGGCGCCTATTTATACTATAGTCGCACCGGTAGTGACGTCATGGCTGTCGCCGGCCAACGTGTTGATGGTGTTTTTTCAAATGTATGCTTCAGACACGGGTCATGACGAGGCGTTCCCCATAGCGACCCCTAGAGGACGCAATGCCTCGTTCCCTACTCAGAGAACCATGGTTACATACGTAACCGGAGACGTTTTGTTTCTGAATGAATCAGCCATTTGAACAAATCAGTTGAATGATTGATTCAACGACTCACTCATTAAGACAATGACTTGCTGCCACCTACTGGCTTTTAGTTTCATATTTAGAGTACCATTTCATTAAAAATAATAAAAAATATTAATGTTTCTATGTTGAATCAAAATAGTTCTTTCTAAAGCATTTTTTTTTGTAATGTCTATTCAATGCCTTTCTCATGTAACAGAATAATGACTTTAAATTATCTTTTGGGGGATTTGTTTTAGCCAAACTTTTATTTCAGCATCATTACTCCAGTCTTCAGTGTCACATGATCTTCAGAAATCAGTATAATATGCTCTACCATTCAAAAGTTTGGAGTAAGTAAGATTTAATAAAACAATTAAAAAATACTTTTATTCATCAAGGATGCATTAAATTGATCAAACGTGTCAGTAAAGACATTTATAATGTCACAAAAGATTCCTATTTCAAATAAATGCTGTTCTTTTCTTTCTATTCATCTGTGAATCCTGAAAAATAAAACGTATCACATTTTCCACAAAAATATTGAGCAGCACAACTGTTTTCAACATTGATAATAATCAGAAATGTTTCTTGAGCAGCAGATCAGCATATTATACTGATTTCTGAAGATCATGTGACACTGAAGACTGGAGGAATGATGCTGAAAATACAGCTGCGCATCACAGAAATACATTACAGTCTAACAGATATTCACATAGAAAACAGCTGTTTTACATTGCAATGATATTTCATAATATTATGGTTTTTACTGTATTTTTGGATCAAATACATGCAGCCTTGGTTAGTTAATGCCAAACATTTGACCTGTAGTGTGTACAAAGCAGCACATGCATATGAAATACCTTGTATTGTTCTCTTGAAGAAGGCCTTGCAGGCTTCACAGGAGGCCACGCCGTAGTGATACCCCGACGCGATGTCTCCGCACACCAGGCACAGGCGTTTTGGGATGGAGTTGAGCATGTATTCGCACTTGATGGAGCCGGGGTCCTCCAGTAATGTGCTGGAACAGTCCTCGTAGCGTTTGCGGCAGGCACTCCCCGCCGCGCTCAGCGGCCCACCTGCCGTGAACATGGGCGGAGAGTCCAGGCCGTTGGAGTGGCTGTTGATGGTGCTGCCGTAGCCGCCGCTGGCGTCCGAATGCGCGCCGGGACTAGGGTGGCTGGCCGTGTCCACCAGAGAGGACGGACTGGAGGGCTCGGTCTTGATGTAGGAGCCACAGCTGGA